TTGCGCGGCCCGGTACCAATTGGTCCACGGACCAGTACCGGTCCACTGACCGGGGGTTGGGGACCACTGGTCTAGACTATTTCCAAAATTACCATAGTGGCTCTCCAGAGAGAAGGGTAAATAATAGTGATTGGTGAACAAGTATAACCTCAAAATGTGTTCACTAGTCTAATCTTCACAATAATTTAAAATTTAAATGTCCAACCTTTTAGAAGCAACATACATGTAATCTGTTGTATTTCCCAGTTTGGAGAGGTGCAAAAGAAAAGAGACCTCCTTGTCAAAAATACATATAATGCAAGAAAGCCAAAAATAATACCTAATTACTAAGTCTCAACTTGACAAGCCTTAAAAACACTTGGTGGAATATATCCAAAAGGTGTCGCACTGATGAAGCTGTTTATTTTCCACCATCATTTGTTAAAATTTGACATCACTGAATAAACTGATTCAAATAACAAGGTTGATGTTTCATTTTTTTTTTTTTTTTTTTTTTTTTAAGAATATGCTACTCCAAAAAAGTGAATTTATTAAATGGCTTTGCACACCAGGGAGGCCAATAACAGTAGAGGGTTCTGTAAGTTAGCATGTGCTCTTCTTACACTTAAAGAAAACTATAAATAAATAAACGGGTTTGATGAAGACAGCAGTTAAACTGTCAAAGTCAAATTATTTTCCAGCAACCTGAAGTCTGGTACACATGACTTCTGTCAAAACATGACATGCTGCAAGACGTTATAACTGTCAAGTCTGGAATAGCTTCAAAAGCTCAAACCAACAACTGCTGCATTTACTTTTCTGTTTGTGTTTATGTCAATTAACAGACGTAAGATGTAAGATGTTCATCAGTCATGCTTAGCAAAAAACATGCAGATGGGTAACAGAGACATTATTTTAGTTGTTAGAAATAACTTTTTGTGTAAAATTAAAGAATATATTTTAAAAAAACTTTAAATAGAAAGTTTATAAAGGAAATTATTAGTATCTTTCATCAGATCCTCTCTTAAAACAGAGAGGACATGAGCAAATGTTAATTTGGCACTTCAGCAATTATCCTAGCTGATTCTCAGCAGAGTGTGATGTAGTTTTGCGAAAGACCTTTTGTAGCCAGATGTGCCAAGTCAGAGAATATTTTACTAATGAATGACAAAGCTGCAGTATTCTGCATACCACTGCAGATCACATGATGCTGATGAAATACAGTGTTCATATTTACAAAGGACTTTCTTCACTTTCATATCAAATGCATGCACTAATTTTTCAAGACAAAATAATTATTTTTTTTATAATACACAGGTGAATGTATAAAAATTCCAGTTAAATTTGGCTTATTAAAATACGTGTGGAAATTCTATGCATTAACCACTTCATTAGTTGTTTTTTTTTTAATTTTTCTATTTGTTTCTGCTTTGCTAAAAAAAAAAAAAAAATAGAAGTATAAAACATAAAAAAGGAATTTTATTTATTAGAATTACTTTTCTGCTGCAGTTTTCCAGAAAATTAGGGTTGTGTGGTAAGCTGATTGTACAGGTTGTGCGATCACCTCCTGCACCTCATTTGCAGTACTTTTCCATGTCTCTTCCACCAGAAGGCTCATTTCATTTGGGAGTTGGGAGGTGTGTGAGTACAGCTGGATGTATGATTAGGCCTGGCAGGTTAGTGATCTTAGCAAGCAGCAGGGAGAGGTATGACATTTATTTTTCAAACCCCCGACCCTGAGGATGAAAAATGCATGTCTCGAGCTTAGCCAAGGCGGTTTGGGTAATCACTTATGCCAGTGTCTCCAGTCCCATATCTCGACCTTACTGGTTGGGTGTATGACAGGTGATGCATGATGCCTCGCTGTCCCTAACTCTTTCTCTCACTGGCCTAACCACAACGGGACACTTCAGTCTTTCTTTTCTTTGATAAGCACCTGTCAAGTTCAAACCTTGACCCGAAGTCAGCTCACTATCCACGGCTTGTTTCTGCCTGCCACTCTTTGCTCCTCTGCAGTCCTCCAAGCCGTTTTCACCTTAATTTAAACTTTCAGATCTTCCTGAAGTTTCCATTTATCTCTGGCTGTTTTTTTGTTTTTGTTTTTTGTTTTTTTGAAGCATTCCTACAACACACTTATGCAGTTATCTAACTGTCAGGGAAAACCTTCATGGTTTTTCATTTTTGTTCTATTGCCTGCATGTCTAAGTTTATAGGTCACAAGTGGTGTAGCAACATCTCATGATTTCTCTCAAGAGATTTCATGACTCCTTGACAGTGAACATTTCTCTCACTGTATTCAATACAAATGACTGATATCCCAACAACAGAGAATGGAAATGGTGTAAAGCAGTGGCAATGATGGTGATCCTGTCCAGGTGAATTCAGCTTGACCCCTCAAGCCCATGTTTTTCTTCTGTATAGAAAAAAAGTCAAAGGGCATTTGTTTTATTTTAAAGTGAATATGCCAGACCTCTACATACCTCTAAAAAGCTAAACTGATTTTAAATCGATGCAGTTTGATGCTTTAGAAAAAAGAAAATACACAAAATCAATTACTTGAAAGCAATTTAAAAAGGGAGCAAAAGCAAGAGAGAGGACGAGAGGAAGAAAAAGTCAAACAGAGGGGGAGACGGCCCAGCTGGTGGCTTTAGCATCTTTCTAAATTATAATGTACACCCAATTTACTCTCATCTGCTGTGAAATTAACTGGGAAATTTGTTTAGATATGTTCCCCCCAAAGAAAATTAGAAAACAGGAGCTGCATAGCGTGAGGTGGCATTAATCCCAAACCGAACATCCGTGTTATCGTCTCAATTGCATATTTCTCAGTTGCTATTATAAATTATGCCAATACGCTTTCTGTAATCTATATGCACATAAGAAAATGCTTTTGCAGTCGCATCACAATATGAAGCTCTTCGTCATTCTGGAGTGTTATTAATAGATCACCTCTTTCTCAAGGGACACAGCCCAGTTAGCCGCACCGTCAAGATGACAGCTGGACTTTGCAAATTGTAAGGTCTGCTGGATGTTTAAAGGTTGGCTCATGTTTAAAATCAGAGAAGCTGAGCGCAGACAAAGAACACTGCAGGTGGCCGTAATGTGATGTCAGGTGCTTGAGTTTGAGCCAGCTGTTCTCTCTATCTCCTCCTCTTCACTCCATCTGCTCAGTTCTTTTCCTCTTGCGGTACATCTATGCATGTCCTAATGCCACACAAAGCCTCCTAAACTTTTATTTAAAATGTTTTTTGTGAGGTGGGTGCAGCCAATATACAGTAATGTAGTTGCTCTTTGACTTTTTACTATTGGCAAGCTGCTTCTCCCAGAGGTTTTTTTTTTTTTTTTAGGTAAATGCATGTCAACAGAGTTATTTCCATGCGGCTTGTATTTGGAGAACAGTAAGCAAGACTAAACACCAAGACAGGCCAGAGTGAGCTCCACCAAGACAGAAAACAAACAATGACGCACTACAGTGTGCACGCGGTACCTGATTATCTGTTGCATCTGGAGTCTGTCAGGATCTGAAGCCGAGAAAGTGGTCAGGCTGGTGCCAGTGGGAACGCCTTCCTCGAATCGGATCTGCTTGGGGTTGGTGGGGAAGTAAGGAGGCTCGTTGACGTCCTTCACAGATATGGTGACTCCAGCAGTCGACTGGAGTGAAGACTGGATGCCGCTGGCCAGGTGGGCCTGGTTTGACACGACCACTGTCAGCATGAAGGCCCGGTTCATCTCGAAATCGACTGGCTGGAGAACGAAACGAAAAAATTATTTACGTACGAAAAAGAGAAAGATGTGTTGACTTTGACCCACTCAGGCTTCTCTTACATTTCTTTGAATGCATGTTACTTTGCTCTATTCCCCTCCTTAACCTCCTGCATGACAACTTACACCTTGTGAACTTGTGCAGTCTGTCACTTTTACCCATTTCTATTTTGGACAGTAGGTAAAATGACTATGTATCTACTGAAAGAACGGCCTTTGCTTTGGATTTTCATATATAGTTTGTTGTGGATCCTTGATATTTGTTCTATCACTTTCTGTCTTTCAAGATGGCTTTGTGTCATAATAGCAAAGTCTTAATGGTTGTGGCTAAAGGGGGAATTGCTGTCATACATTCAGCCATGTTGCTTTGGACATTTTCTTCCCTCCATAAATGAAATAACATTTTAAAAACTGTGTTTTGTAATTGCTCATTTTATCTTTGATATAAAATCAATTTGATGAGTTGAAACCTTTATATGTGAAAAAAAAAGAAACCTGGAAGAAATGTGTAAGCGGGAAAATACTTTTCTTTTATGGCACTGCAAGATGAAAGGAAGATATAAAAGACAAACAGAAAAGCACATGTCTTCAAGCGTGGTTCCATAATAAAGAAAAACTATTTCCATGATTGTCTTCCACTTATTCCTATTATTTATTGTATTACAGTTCTTGCTCTGAATACAAAGCCTTTGTAACAAAATTTTAAGTGGTGACTTGTGTGTTTACTGTAATCCTGTTCATTTTAAAATAAAAACCCTGATCAATGTTTCTCTTTCTATCAGTGTCTGTCTGTCTGATTGATAAGATAATTGAACAGCTTTCCCATGTCAAATAGTCCTGCTACAAACCAATAAACACACATAAAAACAGTGCTCTAACGCCATACGCTGTTGCTATGGCTTGGGTATTTGAATCTGTTCAAGCCATCTAGAACTTTTTTTTTTTCCTAATGTAGACAACAAGACAAGGTTCAAATGACATAAAACAAATTAAGTGATAAAACAGAACCAATATGCCTTCTGTGAGTGCTGCACATTTAACAGCGTGATGATGATCACGGCTGCAAAGCTTGTGCTTGATGGTGAAGTTAAAGACTCTGAGCACATCCTCACGTTGCATCGCTTCACTGTCATCAGGGTGATTATGAAAAGCATCATTAATCGGGACAATTTGTTGACCCCAGCACAGTGGTAGGACTGTTTTCGTGTGTGCTACTTGGTGCAATATTTTGCCCATACTTGCATGTGCATGTAGATTTTCGTTAATGTAAGCAAAGACGAGTGTACTCGCATGTGTGACCCCATAGAGCACTGGGAGCCCATTTAAAGGCAAACCACGCTCGTGGCTCTTTGATCTAAAGCCTGTGGTGTTTTTGGGGCATTGGGAGGTCTGGAGTATAGCTGAAGCCTAAAGTAAAACACACACATTCACACAGACTCACACAGCCTGAGGGAAACCACAGGGGTGAGAGGTCAATAACATGGCTTCCATCTTTTGCCTATGAGCCATCCCGTCTTGCATCTCCTCTGCACCACTTTACCCATTTCTCTCCTTCCCTTTTACATAATTTGCACGGCTGGACTCCAAATTCCCACCCTGTGGGTTCCTCACCTCTGCCCTACCTCGGCTCTCTGTGATCTAAAGCTCACAGTGGGTCGGCGTCTCTCAATCCCGGGAAATCTGCCTCACCCACACTTTTCTCCTCGCCTTCTCCCCCCCTCCCCCCGTCATCTTGTGTGTTAACGTAATCTGTGATTTACATATCTTAATGACTCATTCAAAGCGAGTGGATCTGTTTGTGTGTTTTCCATGTGAGCCTGTTTGTCTATGGACTTCATTACCATGTGGCGAAATAAGAATTAGTCTCTTGGGATCCTCCAGAGAGCAGCAAAAATGTGTGACATGTTCTGGTAAAGACCTAAAGCCTTGTTTACACAGAAGCTCAAGGTCCTTGTGGTAGACTGATGCCTACCTGAGTGTTAGCGTGATTCCATTTGTCTCCCTAGATACTTCGGTAAAAAAAAAAAAAGAAAGAAAACTGCAACACTGCAAAGCCTTTATGCGGTTTTTACATTTCATCTTTCACAAGTTGTCCAACATGAATCCTTGGGTTCACTTTTTTTTTTTTTTTGTCTCTGTGTGAGCTGAAGCCCCTCTGTTTATTTGTCGAGACAGTGTATTGCTTATTTCCTCTCAGGGGGTGGCTTGTCTCTTATTTTATGATTTCCTGATAACCTCCCATGGGTCTCAGTGCAAGCTTACGGCTACCCAGCTGCCTGCTGAATTTCACAGGGAGTGAGAGGAATGGATTATTAAAGTCAGTCATCTAGAGATAATGAAGAGAAGCAAAACACCATTGCTCAGGCTGCAGAGGGAATTATAATGGCATGTTAGTGCTATTTGTTAACATTATTGTGAGATGTGATTTGCAGAAGTCAGATAGATGCTGAAAACATCCTTGGCTCCAGAAGGTCACTGTAATAAAATAGTAATATCTGTAAAACATTTGCAACATGATAGACACACTTACATCAAGCCTTATGAGGATAAGTACCACAAATGCATACAGATACATGCAAGTATATAAATGCAGTTCTTGAAGGCCATTAAGCACTTCTAATGCAGAAACGTTTACAAACGGAGAAGTAATCGTATTGTTATATTGCTGACTTTTTTTTCATACACTGAAGAATGCAGGGCGAAAAAACAAATTTTATTTAGTTTGCAAACCTACTCGTTGCTCAAATGTGGACTAATTCAAGCCTGGATTACTTTAGCATAATATAATACTAATTTAAAACTGACTGATTTAATCCAGCATTCCTTATTAAGTTTTCAAACCCCAAAAATGGATTAAAACCTTCAACAGCATCTGTTGTCAATCCAGAGATTGGATTGAAAATGTTAACTCATAACTCTGATGTCTATATCACTAATACGTTTTATTCAACCCTGTATTAAAGAAGCAGATACAAAGTGTGTATTTAAAATAATAGAAAACGTGGATAGGGCTGTGACAATACAGAAAAGTATTGTGAAATTTGAATTTTAAATAATTTTTTAAGATGTATTTATTACAAAAGAGTAAAGTTTGCAGAAATGACCTTTACTCTAGGATTTAAATTTTAAGGAATCTGTATAAATCTTTATATATTGTGGGATTTACTGTTATAAATCCCACAATATGTAAAGATGTGGTCTTTGAGTGCTAAAAAATAAAGGCCTCATGCACCGGATACTGCTTTAAAGAATATCTGTTCAGTGTAAAAGTACTTTACATTTTAAAAAATGTGCTGGTGGAGCGTATTATAACATAAAGAAAACAATAGCTGTTTTTAAAAAAACAAAAAAAACAATTGAAGCTATGTAACTGGGGCCTTAAACTATGAGGTCAGCTTTGCTCTGAGTGGTCTTGTCGCTAACATAGCAAGTTGTAACAAGACATGACTTTGTTGTTACTGTCATTTACCATGGCAGTGAGAACATTATGAGTGTATAAAACCATTGCCATTGTAATTGAGAAATCAATATCTAATTTGCTGCAGTGGTCTCACCAGCCACCACATTAAAGTGTGTGTTTGAGTGCATGAGCTGTTTCTGAAGGGCACATTAGCCTCCAATCCTTCTTTTGGACACAAAGGGGCATGTGAAAGGCAAAGACCTCCACCTGTCCTCATTTAACTCTGTCGCCCATTATAATGGCTTGTACCTAAATCCAGGTGGAATCTGATATTCTGCATAGAAGGAAAGCTGGTAATTCCCACTATAATAACCTCAGAAATGCCATAAAGTGCATAGTACCTTACCTTCACCACGGTGACCATCCCGTCGTTGGAAACGGGATCGGTGCGGATGGTAAAGTGCCCAGTTGGGTCCCCACTGATGATCCTGTAAATGGCGTTCCAGTTAGGAGAGTGAGGCTGGTCAGCATCTATAACAGTCAGATTAGCCACCGCAACATCCACTGTGTTCTCTGGGACCTCGCCAGAAAACTGTAAGAAGCAGAGAAAAATGGGAAGCTACATCTCTCTGAAACAAAGTTACTTTTACTGGTCTTGTATTCCTTTTGTATCCATTGAGCTCCTTTATAGAACAGAATCCTTTCAAGTCTTTTAGCTAAAGTAATTTATCTCACTTCCACAAGCAAGGAGAAAACACAGCTTATACACCAGCAAGTAGATGCAAATAGGGGCATAGTTTTACTTTTAATGTTTTTTTTTTTGGGGTATTCTTTGATGAACAATAATATTTAATTCCTTTGAAATCCAGAATGACAAGGAGGGGAAATGTTTGCAGAGGAAAAAAAGCTATCAGCCGGGAGGCTTGAAACATCTGTTTGAGTATATCTAAGTAGTTTTTGGTCGTCCCCATGCTTTACGAATACATGTGCTTTGTCCTGATAAGCCTGATGAGCAGCAAGCCGCTGTCTGTCATGTGCCGGTTATGACGGGGATTCTTGTTTGTTTCGAACGAACTTGGGGGATAATTGACGCTGACACTACAAGAAGTCTGCAAAACACAAGTTGACCACAGACCCACCTACATAAACAACTTGACAAGTCCAGACACGCGAGGTCATGTTGTGTTTTCCAACTCATCTGGAGGTAACTGGCGTGCAGCACCACGCAGTTACCATGTCACCGCGGGTAACAGGCATGGATGAGCTACTGAGCCGCTTATGTGGGTGAAGGATATCAAAGAGCAAAGCTACAGACCAAACACTCCAACAGACCATAATACCCTGCTCGGTGACGCTCACATCAACCAGCAAACAGCCGACAGCAGCGGGCAGATTAGAGGGCTGCGTCAGGAGAGCTGTTCAGAGACTCAATGACATTCTTAAGACAACAGACAAGTCCGGGTGTTCTTGATGCACTGCCTGGTTTGGCTAAGTAGGCAGGCTGTCGTAAGTTATTGTCTGAGCATTTGTTTGTGTGTGTTTGAGTGATTTATTGCTGTAGTTTGGTTCAGGGACTCCCCAAAACCAATTCAATAAAATAAACTTCAGAGGAAGCTCTGAGGTTCTCTTAAAAATCCTTCGACATCTTGTTTGTGAGTAACTTTCCCTAAGTAAAAGCTAAGGGCAAGTGTTAACCAATTATGATCAAAGGCTTTAAAGGATTCTCCACATTCTCACTAGCAACACTGCAGTTACAAGTTGTTTAATTTGGGGGAACTGAAAGGTACAGAAGGGTGTTGCTGTCAAGGAGGAAACTAAATTTTTGAGCACTATCACGTTATATTGTTATAATTATGTTGTACAAACATGACTCTTATATTGTAGAAACATAATAATATATTGTATGAACATGATAATAAATTCATGTTATTTTACAAACCTGATCATTTATTGTACAAATGATATATTGTATAAATGTGACAAATATATTTTATAAATGTAATAATTATATTGCATAAACATGATGATTATAGTGTATAAATGTGACACGGTAATTCCACATGTCATATTATATGTATTCCAAAGGAAAAATAGGAAGTGTTGGGTAACTAATTAAGAGCTTCAAAACACTTTAAAAACAGTCTTCAGTTGTATTTGTTTTATAGGAATGGAGAGGCATGCCAATATGTGTGAAACTGGTGATTCTGTAAACAACAAAATTATTTCCGAAGGGACTTTTAGATTTTTGCAAAAATGGACACATGATTCTGCAATACAAGATTAATCAATCTTAAGGCTCTCTATCTATGTCTTTACTACGGGTGCAAATAACTGTGGAGGTGATTCTGGTTAAATTCTCTAATAGTGAGTGTTTGGTAAAATTTCCAAACCACATGGGTCTGTGGTTTTTCAGAGTAGAATTGTAATAAGACCAACTTAAAGCAGGGACACAAACATCTAATTAGGCAGCTTTTCTTCTAAGTGATAGCAAATCTTAACTCCAAGTGTTGGGCATGAGGGAGTAAGGGTGGATCCCTTTGATTGTGATTGGCAACGAGCACTGCTGGCTTTCTCTCAACACTTGACATAACACCACTTGCCAGCACCCTTACTCTTCTGTCACTACTCTGGCACTGAGAAAACTACAAGGGGGAGAGTAAGGTAGAAAGAGAGGCGAAAAGTGACAGAGAGCTTCATCATGTGAACTTTGTAAGGGCAGCACAGGCAGGAGGCCAAGAAACCAGCGTAGAGAATCCTGCACAAACTAGTGCGATTGTGCATCCCCCCACTTATCTGCAATGCCATATGGAAACATAGCAGCAATGGAGTAAACACAAAAGGTATAAACAATTTGATTCATTTTATCAAATCTATCTGTATTAGAGACATAGTGCAATAAACACCCAAAGGCTTTGCATCTGCACACATACACAAACTCTGTGACTACTTGAAAAATAGGCCAGCCTCTGATAGGCATGATGAAATATTAATCATCAACATTAAAGACAAATTCCCCAAACTTTATATTTCTGGGACATGCTGAAAGATCTATGGGGTTTATTGCTAAAACTAAATATTTGCATAATGGCCTGCAATCTCAACAAAATGGCTTTTCATGTTATCTCCCCCTACTAAAATGGATGATTTATGAGGGGAGTGGGTGAAAGTGCTTTCCTCATCGTGAATCCTAAACCTCCACTAAAGTTTATCATCAATATTCCTGATAATATTAACTTCCTCATGTGACGCTGATGGAAATGCACTTTAACTAGGTGGAATCCAGTTAGAGGATATCAATCTGTTATTGCCCTGCATCATCAATATACCACCATCAGTAGGGAATGTTAATGCAGAAAAGAGAGTCAGGGAAGGCTACTGATTTACAACAAGGCCTGTCTGCACTTCATCACTGCTACTGTAGGAAATTGCTTGAGTGACAAAGTACTCCCTCATTCTTCCTTGTCTCCTTGTCATTCTCCCTTTTCTTTTCTTTTTTTTTTCCTTTTTGGAGTCTAAAATGTGGTCTGTTCATCAGTACATTTAAACATGTACACAATTATTTTCTAGAGATTTTCTTCATCTTTGCCCCGCTTGTTTCCCTGCATGTTTCTGTGTGATGTAGCAGCAGCTCTCTGATGAGGTTTAAAGCTGACACATGCTTGACGTCGGTGCTAGCTGAACATCGTATGAGTCCTAACAGCCCCCAGAGCAAATACTAATGCTAACTGCTTTCCTACCAACTGAAAGGCTGAGCACATTGGTGACAAAGTATTCATATCTGCTCCGGGAGTCGGAGAGCAAAGGGCTTTTCGTCCACCCATTCTTCCTTCTAGTTCTTAATGCCATACAATGCTGTTAAGAGTTGGCTGATAAATGAGCCTAGTCCATTAGTCCTGCAACTGTACCATACTCCTTTTAATTCTGGGTGATAGACTGAAATGTCCTGAGTTTGGTTCATTGTAATGTTCTCCAACTGCTTTATATTACCTGCTCTGTTTCTCAGGTAAAGTGAGTGTGGATTGGATTTCTCTACCTGGGATCACCTGGGCTGGTCTTCCCCGTCTATTTAAACCCAGCTGCTCCTCACATCAGCTTCAGCTCATGCTCGCCCCATAGTCCTGATATTTATGTTGGGTTTGATGTTTTGTTAACTGGTTTTGCTTTTCTTGAATTAGTTAGGGCTTGTGTTGGGTTGGCATTCTGCCATACTTTATTTCAGTTTGGTCTTTTCATTTTACGAAACATATGTTAGTGTAGTAAACACTTATTAATTTGCCTTGTGTTTCCCTATTTTGTCAGAACCTCATGAGCCGGGTCGTGACGCTCATTCCTTCCACTTTAAAATTCCAATATACGTCTGCATGTAAAATCCCAATAATATTTTAAGGTTGTGACTGTAGCACTTGAACGTATGAATGTGTTCAAGTGGTATGAATACTTTTTCAGGGTTTGAATATTTAATATCCAAAGAAATTTTGACATTTACCAAGACTGTTTATAATTAATTAGAAGTGCAGGAAACTGACTCTGCTTTTAGCCGTCTTGTAACGTACACTACAAGTGACACACTTGATGTAAGACTCAGCCAAAAGGGAAATGTCTGGCCTCTGTACTGATTTAATACATTACATAAAATGCATTACATTGGACTTTTAATTTTTACCCTGCTCCCAGTAATGACCCAGTGTAATGCAATCATCATTCTAAATATCCCTATGATGACAACAATCATTAACCATTTGCAGGATCGAGTATTCTTGCAGATGGAAGTCAATAATATAGATCAGTGTTCCTCGTGTGTAAGTGTCCTTTACAGGAAAACAAGTAGGCATTCCCTGTATTTTAAAAGCATAAATTATGTTTTATAGCCACACAATATTGTTGGAACTGTTGTTGAAAGTTCTGATTCAAGGGGAATGGGGTTTCTTTCTTTGCAAGGAGCCTTGAAATCAGTGTGGAATGTTAGTGTATCAATACAATTGAACCAAAATTGAATTTCATTTATTCCTTGCTCTGTTAACTCCTACTTCTATTTGCTTTTCATTTCTCCTATAGCTAGACATTCTTTTCTCAGGTCTTTCCCTCCAGCCTTCTTTCAGCCTTCTTTTCATTTTCACCGTGCTCTTTGAACCCAGGCCCTCTCATTCTCTAAACAGTTACCTTCTGCACACTTCCATATTTGTAATAACTTACAGTTCTTGAGGTCAGCATGGGAGGGTTATCGTTGATGTCCGTGACAGTGATGATGGCAGTGGCTGTGTTGGAAAGGCCAAAGTTGAGGTTTCCCTCCATGTCAGTGGCTTGCACAATGATGGTGTACTGGGACACTTTCTGAGGAAGGACAAAAGAAAAAAAAGGGGGAGACATAGTAATGCTGTTATTCGTCTAAAGATAGCTTTCTCTTCTATGAGCACACTGTCCACAGACTGCGGCTCCCAGGAGAAAAACAAAGCCTTTTTTGGCGGGCCGTAGTTTTACTTGAAACACAGAATCATAAGGGTAAAGTCTTTCATTTGACTGAACCGAAACGTTTCTCGGTGGAACCTGGCCAGACATCACACCATCCAGAGGCTGCACTGTGAAGCCTCCCCACGGGTGCAGCGTGCCATCAAAGCCGTTAGGCGCGCTGCTTATTCAGTACCACTGATCGACAGATGTTGAGACAATGATCCAACTGACAGAGATTAATAGACTATCTGTGAAGCAGTAATATGAGGGAATAATAAATGCCATTCCCTCTTTTGAAATGACACAATGTCACTTCAGTGGTTTGAGATTTTATTATATTTTTTTCCTTATTTGTGTTTCTGTGCACAGCAGCACTTGTGTTCTTCCTTATTCATCTGGCTCTTTCGTACGTTCTTCTTTTGCAGCTTTCTTTTTCTCTTCTTCTGTCCCAGGGTGCAGTTAATGGGCTGCAGGAAGGATAGAGCCCAGGAGCCGACTGTCTGGATAATGTGTCTTGTCACCGAGATTCCCAATTACATTCCCACCGTCTCTCTCTCACCTGCTAATTACCAAGTAAATATCCCAATTAGACCAGGACGCCACATCAGGAGGATTAGACAGCTCCTCTTGGTTCCTCTCATCTTGATGCTAAATGAGATGCTGAACTCCAACCTTGAGCACACACTCATTAACATTAACGTATACACGCAAGCACACTTTGACGCTCTGCTTTCTACATATCTTGTTCTTGCCTGGCTGTCCCATCAGCCTGTGTACAGCTTGTACATAACACTCACTAATTAGACAACGAAGTAATTATGCAGAGCTTCTCTGAAACTCTCGGGTTGCAACAATACCACAGCACACCCAGTTTCCTCTGGAGTGCTGAGGTCTGTTGCTGTCAACAAGCTCTTTAAAAGTCCACTGCAGACCAGTTAGCAGAGAATCAATGTGCGAGTTAAAAAAGAAGAGGAAGCAGACGTTTTAAAGAGAAAGAACAGAGGAGAGGACCGGACACAGCAGGGTTCTCAAGAAAGGTGTGAAATCTGGCAGAAAATAGGTCATTTAATTATTGCTTTTGCAGTCACATAACACCGTTCACAGATCAGACAACAAAGGACTTTCTGGTGTTTCAAGGTTTCAAAATGCAAAAAATGCTGGCTGAAATGTGATGTTTTTGGTGCATTTTCCCATAAAAACTGCACTGCACAGTTACAGACTTCCTGTTTTCTAAGAACACTGTAAGAGGAAAAACAGAGGTATGTTATTTGTGCCTCAAGCACAGAATATGTTTTTGCAGTAATGGGAAACAGTTTTATGCAAACGGACATCAGAAAACAAAAAGCTAATCTTTTCCAGGTTATAAAAATCTTCAAATCTAACCATAAACCCAACATATGGACGGTGCGATAAACACACTGCAAAGAATGACCTTAGATAACCAATTTTTGCTGTCCATCAATCTGGGAAGGGTTCTAAAGTAATTTTCCAAAAACTAAAGTGAGAAGGAATATTCACAGGAGATTTTTAGTAATGTCTGAAGTAGCTGTTGCAACAGCTCAGAAAAAAATAATAATCCAGACTTCAATCTGATTTATATGACATCATGGACCTTATGTAATTATATAAAAAAAATACTACTAAAAAAATACTAAAAGCTACTGTATATTCCAAAGCAACATACACGATTATGAGTGACTGAAAAATCAAAAAAGAAAACGACTCTAAATTTGTTGCTTCCAAAGGGAGGTTCCGAGATGTTTTTTCACACATAGCTTTTATACTGTAGCTTCATGTTTGTAGACTTTTCATGGCTGTATGTAATGTCTTCGGTGTAATTGTCGCAACAGATCTCAGTTTTGTAGTGACAATTACACTGCAGGTCTTTTTTGAAGCAAACACACATGGAACACAGTTCCATAAATTTCCACTTACATAGCTTGAAATGCAGCAAATCACTTACAATAGCTTTTTAAATTTAGCACCACAACAGAATCACACGGCCCACAGGCCTTTTACTTCCACAGCCAAGTTTGACAAGGTTATGCCATCACAGTTTAATATATAGACCAGCTGCTCAAGCTCTTGGTCCCTAAGCCATCAATGAACCTTGAGCTTCAGTGACCCTCTCTCTGCTGTACTAGGTGTCCCTCCTTGGCCCACTTAAGGTTAATAATAGATGTTATGTTACAGCAACATCTCACAAGTTCTGCCACTTTGAAGATGCTCTGATCAGAATGAGATTTTATGGTCAAGAGGTTAAAGAAACCGGCTTTTAGCCACACTTAAACTCTTAATCTTTTTACATGGATCCCACAGGCACATTTACAGTTCTATTAACATGGAGGATAGACATGCCAAATAGGTAGTAGTGTCTTTGACAAGTTCTTGAAAGACATAAACACTGTCTTTATACAAGACTTGCTGACATCTTAGAGTGCAATTGGTTGAGTTAGTTTGAATGGCAAAGTCTACACAGTGTCTTGCAGAAATGTAAAACTTTTTCACATTTTTTCAGGTTACAAACCCAAAACTTTTATATGACAATCAAATACAAAATAACATCTGTTGTTGGTCGTGAGTGTTTTTTTTTTTATGCATAAAAATGGGAGAAGTGTGGATTGCAGCAATTTTCACTCCCTCTCTGGATAAATACATTTTAGAATAAGTTTTCAATGCCATTGTAGTTGCAAGTTCTTTGGTGTGTGTATGGCACACAAAAGAGTTTTTGCTCATTTGTTTGCAGAATAAGTGAAGCTTGATCAATTTGTGTGAACAACATCTGTGAACATCAATTTTGAACTCCAATTTGACATAGATCTGGACTTTACCTGGGTTGTTCTAATGCACGAATGCTTTGATTTGAACTTTCATCTTTTTTATCTTTCTTTTTTTTTTCTTTTTATTTATTTATTTGTTTATTGGTGTCGCATAATCACAGACAAGTCAGTTCTGTTCACTAATTAGTTGAGTGGTGAACACAATTGGTTTCACAATAGTTGATTTGACAGAATCAGAATAAATAAAACACAAACACTGCAGTTTTTATGCATTACTTTCTTTCCACTTCATCATCATTAACAACTTTATGGGTCTTTAAAATTTTTCAAAATACATAAAATTTGTGGTTGTAGTGAGTAAACTTTTAGGAGGTGTTTATATTTTTCATTGTACTGAAGGCATCTAAGTGATGCTGTTCATATCTGCTTCAACATCTCCACTCTTTTGTCAGGCAATTTGCTGAGTTTTCTTTAAATAGCAGGAAGGAGTAGAGTTAAATTGCTCTGAGATTACAATACAAGCGGTAATATGCGGTTCGAACAGCGACTGAAAAAAGACAAAACTGATCACACTGAACTCAACCTGTAATATCATGTGAAGAAAAAGGCAAAAATAATTATGTCAGTAACAGCTCTTTGAAGTACAAAATGGGATAGGAGGAGTTTAATCCTACAATTTAGGGAAAGTGTCTGGATTTGCTAAAGTGCAGATAAAACAGCAAAAATAAGCAGCAGTGGCTCAGCTGGGAAATTTTTAGTACATGTTGGCCTCATACCTTTCTTTGCCTCTGGCACCCCGCTGTCTTGCCCTGTTTCTCCGTCTCTGTCACCCTATTTTTTTCTTTGCCAAATTCACACTCAGTTCTTCGCTCATCACGGTAATACCCCATCTATTCAGCTCTGTTTTTGTTCTGCTCCCCCTCAGCTTTTCCTTTTCCCTCCGCTGCTCTTGCTTTACCGAGCACAGATGTGGTTATATGGGCTTTTGTGTTTGTCTGACAGGTGTCAAGGGCATTCCATCTCAAAAAAAATTTCCCTTTGTCTCTACCGCACAGCCATACACACACACTCACAGGCATGAACAACACAACATGAGCAGCCCACCGCAGCATGATGTGTTGTTAATAGGTCTGTCAGTAGTGACAGTTTGGGAGGATGATCTGTTTCGCAGATGTCTTTGCAGAGTTGTCACTGGCACATCCTTGATGCGAGAATAAACACATTTGGATCTTGTCACAACTTTTAGAGCTCCATAAACAAGGTGACCAAAGACTATTTACTGTAAAAAAAACAAAACAAAAAAAAAACAGAGGAGTTGATGTTTGTGTTTGTGTGGAGGAAATATGTTCTGACAAATGGCTGCATGAGATTTGAAAGTGTTGACAGAGTAAACAATACTGTTAGAAAAAGTGGTGCTTAAGAGGAAATAAAGATGTGTCTTATGCCCACTTAGACATGGTGAAACCAAAAGGGGTTCTAGGATTTAAAAGCAACCATTTCCTCACTGTCACAATATCTTTGTGAAGTGCGAAACATGAAAGACAAACCTCTCTGTCGAGTCCGGGCGCCACTGTCATGATGTCTCCCGTCTCACTGTTGATGGTGAACATGTTAGGGATGGGGCTGTGCGGTGTCTGGGACAGGATCCGATAGCGCACCATTCCATTAGCCGTGGTGTTGTCATCGGCATCAAATGCAGATAGATGCATCACGTAAGTTCCTGGCGAAGACAAACGTTTGGTCAACATGCACGTCCAGATGCAGTTCATTTTGCTCTTATTACTGAAAATACTGCTTTCTATGTTATTGCTGTTTTGCTATGTTTGGTTTTTGGTGTTAATTTGTGTTTTGGTCATTTTCTTGTTGCTCATTTCCATTCATGTTCCATTCCCTGCTTTCAATCTGCCACAGCTGTTCCACATCTATAAAATAAAGGGCATTTATCAAACCTGTTTTTCTCAGATTCAAGACTAAACCATGGGCAACAAACACTCCTGGTGGGTTACATGAGTTACAATGAATGAGTATATGAGAAAAAAAAAAAAAAAACATTCCCACTGATCTGTATGGTGGAGGATCTATGACACTGTGGGATGCCGTGTACTCAACAGAGGCATCATGAAAATTGTGACAAAATTAAAAATAAAAATAGAAACCTTGCCATTCGCCAGGACATTTTTCTTAAACTCAGTTTCTCCAGAGGGATTTATTGATTTTTGCCAGTCACTTGCACAGAGGCAGAAAATCTCATATTGCATCACATTCGACTCTTTGCCTGAGTGTTCACAATCTTTAATCTTTTGAGCTTGGTCTGTTTTAACTTTTTCTGCTTTGACCTATGAGTTGTTTTTTTTTTGTTTGTTTTTTTTTTTTTCAATGGCTCTGAAACGTTTTTGAAGATTTTTTTTATCAAGCTACATACATTTTTTGTTCTCTGACATTTGACAGCAAAGAAACAACTTCAGCATCTCGCAAACAGTTTGCAGGTGGAGTTCACACAGTGATTAATAAACATGTTGAAATGAAAAAGGAAAAGCCTCTACACCCAAGATTGGAAGTGAAAGCAGATTACTCCTGTCAACTTCCATACATGAGAGCAGGGCTAACTGCTCAGAGAAAACATCACATGCATGCTACTTGTTTCACATTAATAATGTTTTTTTCTGACCTCACAGACATTTTCTTTTCAAACGAAATTACAACCTGTAAACACAATTTTTGCATCGGCACATATTTGTTCATAAAAAAAGTGAAATCTTCTCTATGTTTGATTACAGTTTGGCAAATTCCATAGCCATCCAACCCACAACATTTTTGTACTTTAAAGAATAAAACCATGTGCTAAGGCAAAAGGAGAATGGACAGAGCAGTGATGGATGAAGGTGGAATTATGAACCAAAAGAGATTGAGACGTGTTGTAAATTGTATTTTTAATTATTTGCTTCAGTTTAAAACAACAAACAATCAAACAAACAAAAACACTTTAAAAATGCTCCAGGGCTGTCTTTCTATCATATGTGTGCCAAACCAAAACAACCGGACCCACGGAATAATCTTTTGGCCTCACTCCCACTTAATCCAATACAAATCTAAATTAATCAGATTTTTGTTACTGAATCCTGACTGTATTTTTTTTAGTCAAAAAGGATTTTTCTTACTGTAGCGTGATTGTTCAAAAACTGCAAATGCCCGCGTGGACAGCATTTGCCAAATTTGTCCACCCACATGTGGAAAACGCCTCAACTAGCTGCTTTGCCAGGCGACACTGACTCACAGTCAATGGGCTGATTCATGTCAAGAGTTTTGATCTTTACATCTGGCAGCGTAGCAACTTCCCACAGGACTGTGCTGATGTGCAACACATTTGACTTCCCTTTATTTTACTGTCCAACCACAGCAAAACTTTTACTAATAGAAAGAAACATGTTTTTTTTTCTAATGTTCTGTTTTGCTTCGAGATGTTTAGTGTGGTACTTTTGTTGTTCTTTGTGCTACTTAACCAAACTACCTAAACTTTTCTTTTTGAACAAAGGGCCCTTCTCACGTACAAAACAAAATCACAAGAGACAAATACTTTGAGTTTAACTTACTGTGCCACTTTTCTCTTCATAAGTAAGAGATCATGAACTTTATCAACAATATTAATGCAAGCTTGAAGCAAATGAAACCTGAAGTCCTGTTACTCAGAGATGATTTCCCCCCCAACAGTCCTATAGATTATCATACTTGCTTACTGTTGCTAGGTAAAGATGTGCTAAAATCCACTTAAATTCAGTGACAAGAAAGTTCCCATTTTGAGAAGTATTTGTTTACAGGGGGAGTATTGTTATGTAATAGGGTGAAGTTCAAACCCATGCAGAAGGTATCACTGCATAACTTACTGTAGGTGCCTAAATGCATGAGCCCCTCCTGATGAGTCACCCATTATGTGAAGAATAAGCCTCTGTGCTTCCATGAATGTTTTGCTTGTTTGCTTTCAAGTCTCCACACCCTCATAAAACTCTGTGGGATCCCGCCGCCTGTCACCCAATCTCTCCATCTCTTTCTCCCTCTTCGCTAGTTGATTCTAATTGCCAGAGATAGTGATATCATGCCACTGACAGCCCCTGTCCGAGGATAATTGTAACCGCAGCTCCCATTTCAAACTTCATTACGTTTCAAAGCAACATTTGTCAATGACTCGGCCAGAGGGAGCACTCTAAAGCCCTCTTAGTTAGACAAGAAAAAAAAAAAAAGATGTTATGAACAGAGAGCAGGAAAGAGAAGGAGAGCAACAGAGGACTGACTGCGTGTTTGGTTTGATTCCAAGCTGAGAGACTATCAGTCCCCACCCAACACTTTTCACTTGAGATGGAGGGATACAGTGAAAGATGAAGAATCACAATGTGTCACACATCACTGGGGTAATTTCATTAAGCTGCACTCATATGGGGTTTAATGTGGACCCTTTGTATGGGCGTCCTAAGCTGTGCCTGACAGGATTACGTCCCCATAATGACTCTTTAATTTGCAAACTAATTCAAGTCTGTAATTGGCCTTCCTTTGAAACCACTGGAGCTCCAAATTCTAAAAGTCTTTTTTTATGATTATTGTTCAGCTTAATGTCATGCATGCCATAGAGACTCATATGCTGCGTGGGGCAAGGCCGGGGGAATGCCAATAGAATGAGGAGAGAAAAGATCATTCTGAAAAAAATGCAGAATGAAAAAGTAAACAGAAGATTTAGAGAAGAAAACAAGCACCTGGACACCTCTTCAGATCACCTCCAGCATTATAAAGTTGGGCTCATCAGACTCAAACTCACATATGCTCCGAGGTTTGATGTCAAACGAGCCAGTAGTGCTACATTTGGTACATTTAATCCTCAATCTTTTCACCAGCATGACAACGCTTATTGCTTTAAAGTCTTTGTTTTTCTGGGCTAAATGAAAAGCTGTAAGACACAGCTTTTCATTCCCATTCCCTTTCACATCAAAGGGAATGGAAAATTCTCTGTTCTGCCCAATATTCACATTTTGCACAACACTTGTAATGACAGCGTTCTTTCCTCAAATTCACAGACTTACATTGGCTGCTGCAACAGGCTAATTTCTGGAATTGCTCTGGATAAATTATCCCTCTACCTTCTCTTCTGTGTCATTACCTGGTTTAGAACCTTCATCCACAGAACCATTGTAGACCTGGTTTTTGAACTCTGGTCTGTTGTCATTCATGTCGATGACGAAGATGTACAGATCAATTGGGTTCTCGACCTGGTTCCCATTCATGTCCACTGCATGGGCCCGCAGCTGGGAGAAAGAGAAAGAAAAAAGGTCCAGATTACAGCTAAACAATGAGGAGGTTTATATGGAGGACTAAATCAAAGCAAGGCTCCAGCTTGAACAGGTCATTGAACAGAACTAATGTTCTTGTTGCAGAAAAATAACATAACTGTGGAAAGGCTCTTGTGGTGGATGCTCCTACCACCACCACATTGTGTTAGTATTTATTTCTTTATTAGTATAGTTTATAGTCTGTTTAAGTTAGTTATTTCATTTAGACATATATTTTCTAATGGGTGCACACTTTAGTTAATGTCTAAAGTCAGTTTGCTTCATTTGTTCATAGAATGCTTTAGTTAATTTTGTATTTATTTGTTCTTTTGTTAGATCAGACCTCCCTCAAGTGGTAGATTTAGGTTACTCCACCCCTATTTAAGCAGCCTTTGTTCTTTGTTTGGTAGGTCAGTTTTGTTTGTGAACAGTTAGAGTTCAGTTTGGATCCAAATTTGTCATTTATCCTTTGATTTATTCTTGCTTTAAATCTTTATTCTATGTTAATGATTTTTTTTTTGAAGAATTAAATTGAAACCTTTCTCTACTTTGAACATTTTTTGTCTTCATCTGAGTTTGGTCCCTCACACTCTATTGAGTGGAGCACGTCAGACACTACCGCAATGAGTAAAGATACTACAACTCTACTCAGCTTGTTGGTATGACAGAAGTTCTGAACTATATTTGAACCACTCACAAACAGATTGCTACTGAATAACACAGCTGCAAAATGTATATTACCTTGGGTAGTTATTTAAGTTTATTAGAACCAACAACCGTAATGAATCTTGTAGGGATTTTATGGTAGTGCAGCAACATGATGCGTTATTTTCAGCAGTGATTGCAAACAAAAATTGGACAAATCAACTGTGAGTTTTACAGTCCCCGTTAACCTTGGTACTCCTTAATACCATCTACCAACAAGGTAGGTGTCAACATAGGGTGTCAGAAGACGCCTATTTTGGAACTGGAATCCACGTGTGCTGTTTAATCTCAGTATATTTCCCATTATTTTGTAAAGATTTCAGATTTTCGTTGGAAAACATTATTAAAGAAACAACGCATGGAGCACTATTTGTTTCAGAAGTCAGTAATCAGTTTTTTTGTTTAATTAGTCCGATGAAATGATTTCATTACTATTATTTAAATAATATTTCAACAATCTAGTTTTTATTAATTGTGTAAATTCAAGTGTCGTCAAACACTTTCACTTTATGGTGTAAAATATATGTATGAAGTGCCATCTTTACAGTGACAATAAGAAAATGACTGCATTGACAGCCTTACTACTACAATTAAAAAAAGAAAAAAAAAACGTATCAAAAGTTTAACTTAAAATATTTAGAAACAGGGCACTGATAAATCATGAATACAAATGCAAGTGAAAAGAAAAATGTTCCTTTTTCACTCATTTGACAGAATTTGACTATTTTTCCCAAATATATTTTTAATCTGTTGTTCAGATGGAGGTAAACAATGACTAATGTGGAAAACAATTATGCTTTAAAGGAGAGGCATAAAAATATATACTGCTCAAAAAAATAAAGGGAACATTTCACTTTAATTTTGTGTGTGGCTCCAAATCCAGGCCTCCATTGGTTAATAAATTTGATTTCCATTGATGATTTTTGTGTGATTTTGTTGTCAGCACATTCAACTTTGTACAGAACAAAGTATTCAATGAGAATATTTCATTCATTCAGATCTAGGATGTGTTATTTGAGTGTTCCCTTTATTTTTTTTGAGCAGTGTATATTTTTTTTAAAAAATGCAGAAAAACAAAAAAAGAATCCATATTGAGGTTTTTAGGGTAAGTGGGTGGGTTGTTTCAAGTTTCTTATAGAACTTGCTAGATATCCTTGTGAATTCAGTCTTTTAGTCTAAATCTAAGACTTGTTTTTTCTTCATGTAATCCCAGAGTGACTTACTGATATTGAGCTCATGATGCTCAGGTGGCTACAAGAGGCTTTCATTATCTAATTGCTGCAGACAGTTATTCATTATTCTGACTAGATCTAGACTTTTGCTTCGCCAAAGACCAAATTTCACCTGAAAGCCTTTTAATGGAACTTAACAAAAAGCACAAATGTCTATAAATGGAGAGTACCTGGAATGAATATCCAACATCAAAACCACCACTGAAGCCTGTAGAATTGTTGATATATATATCACATCATTCACTGTGTTTTCTGTTGACCCTAAAGAATCACAGAATTTCCATTTGGCAAAAACAAGTGAGGTAAAGTCATTTGATGTTTAACCACCAAAAAGCCACAGCATCTCCAAACTGAAAAAAAAACAAACAAAAAAACATTTCTGTTGGCACAAGATAAAATCTTCATAACTGAATTCTGCAGCAACAAAACTTTTTATAATATTTTTACTAACATAGCAATATCAGGCATATTAGATAGAAACTTCAGAATACTGTCCCTGCAGAGAAATTGCCTTTGCGATGTATTCTTTCTCCTGACTTCTTATCTGTTCACACTTAGCCTGCCAAACTTTTATCTCAGCAGGAACCAAACGGAAAACATCTTATTTCATGGAAGGCTGGCTCAGTCGTAAAAGTGAGGTGTCGGTTTCAGAATGACTGCACTGGATCCCCTGGCCAGCGTTCTGTCTGGTTTTGTTTGAAAGCAAGCCTTGAAATCTCTTCGCTTCCCTTTGACTTTACGAAAAACAAAAAACAAAAAAAAAACAACCTGTCAGCACATCTGAAATTCAGCTTGGCAATGCTTAGATCGATGAAATCACAGGCTCTGATTTCTCACAGTGTTTGGACTAGAAAACATGGAGCTTTGCTCTTTTCTCTGCTTATGAAGTCTGGAAGTAAAAAAAAACAAAACAATAAAAATACAAACAAACTAGAGTAATGAAATAAATAATCAGGAACGTTCTCAGGCCATATGCTTGTTTTATCCTCTGTAGGAGAAAAAGTTAGAAATAAAGAACAGCAGTCGCATTTCAAAATAAACTCCTTGATTCTCTCAAAACCTGTTCACTTTGCTTGGGAGTGTTTATGTCCCTGAACATGACTTATTCAGTGATTTTTGTGCCAGTGTGAAGCAGAAGGGATGTTTACCTCGATCACAAAAGTAAAATGAAAGAAAAAGTACAATACATTCTGCTGCTACAATAAAGTCTTGCACATATGTTTTCTATTACATAAATGTTCACGTTCAGTTTTCAAGCCGAGCTGCTGTCTCTTAATTCATTACTAGGCATTAACATCAAAAGAAGGTATAAGGAATGATAAAATCATCTTTCTGTGAATGGATGGGGAATGAAAGCATGACATAAAAAAAGAATGGATTATTGCTGCACATGTGATTTAAATGTAAAATGCAACGTTGTAAACAGTAAACCCACTGATACATTTCATCATGTTACAGTAAGAAACTTCAGTGTATTTAAAAATAGCCTGTTAGACTTTTGGGGTATGTCTCTAGCAGCCTTGCATGTACTGATATTAAAACTTTTTTTCCGTTCTTCGTAAATTAGCTCAATTTCAGTCAGATCACACTTGATGGAGAAAAGTGTCCCCACAGAATGATGCTGTGTTAATATATAAACTAAAACTTCCAGTCTTTAGATGTGCATAGTTGATAAAGGCACATGCCTTTATCAGCAGACTTGGAGCTTTAGTAAGCAAAAAATGTAAATACAAATATACGACGTGCTGTTTAGACTTTTTTTAGTAAAACAAAAACAAACAAAAAAAACACAAAAATTCACATATTTTTCCCTTTTTTTACAATACAGCTGTATTATGTTTTGTTCTGTCAGACAAAATTCGATATTCAGGTATTTAGTTACAATGGGAAAATACGCAGAAAGCTAAATAGGGTGTGAAAATTTTTCAAAATTACCATAAGAACTGTGCCCCTCTTTGCTTACATTTTATCACAAAGATGTGAAAATCCACTCCACAGTTCCTCATACCCTTCTCTTCACCAACATCCTCTCCATCCTTTCAAACGTTCAGCAAAATGACATCTTCAGAAAAACCCGGAGGTGAAACTTAACTTTACTCTTTCAATATCCACTGCTATATAGCAGGCCAGGAGCCAGACCCCTCAACGAAACCTACTGCCGTCCCTGTGTCGCAGCGCACAAACCCACAGCCTAATTCAATCTCAGCAGGAGTCGGGAGATTGCTGCCTTGTTTAAAGAAGGCAAAATGTATTTCTGAGTTCACATTAAAGTTATTATCTTTAAAACCAGGGACGGGGTAGGGAACTGAACCAGGCAGTGCTCTACATTTGGGAAGAAACAGCGTCATGATGAAGACAGCAGAAAACCGAGAGGCTTCAACACTTTTTTTCCCTCTCTCTCTTTTCATAAGAATGCATCTTGTTGCTTGGCTGATTTTGAATTCTAAAGCACTCGTTCTCCTGAAATAAAAAGAAGTAGAGCATAACTGTGTTCCATCCTTGCATGAAATATGAAGTAAACAGAAAAAAAAAAAAAAGACCAGAAAGTCAAAGAGCTGTGGTTTGCTAAAGAACAAAGTGAAGAAATACATGAAAAGTTTCACATTTAAGTTTTCTGGATTGAAAACATTAAAGTTCCATTAAGTCCAGCTGGGTGACATTTATGTTGAGTATTTTTAAATGTCATATCCTTATGAACAATGCCAACATCAATTTAATCAGAAAAATTGATCTTTTTTTTTCTTACATTCTTACTCCTTGCATATGGAGCTGGAAGTGGGACACAAAAGAAGAAACTGAATAGAAATGTCATACAAGAAAATCTAATGTCAAAATTAATAAGTTAAAACAATTTTTAGCATCTAACACATTTGTACTCTTATTGTTTAGATGTTATTTTGCTCAAGTGGGGTGCATCTTACTGGAAAAGCCCACTTCTTTTGGTCATTGTTTCAGTCCTATAGGAGCACACTGCAAAAACAGTTTAGTTGGTGTTTTTTGTCAAGATAACATCTGTATGCCAAGACTAATTTACTCCCTGCAGAATACTGCGTTGTAAAATGATGATCACTGCAATTATTGTCAGTCCCTGTTTATGCTTTCACTTCTTGCAGGTAATGGTGAGCCCTGCTTCTGGACCTTACATCCCAATTCCCTCTGCTGTACAAAAAGATAAACAATATTTTTTATTTATTTTTTTTAATCCATTTGGATAACTACAAAAAAATGTGAAAACATGCTTGAAAAGCATTTTCTTTTGTGACGTGTTCTTTGCGCCTCCTAAGCATTTTTGCTATTGACCATTTCAGAAATGGTTGCTGCATTGACAAGGTTTACGCCAACTAAGTTAATTCCACACCTTTTCTGCTTAAGCTACGCTGCTCTTAGAAGTTCTTCAAAAAGTGCTGTCAAATCCAGAGAGGTACAAATTTGAACTGCAATCATTCACAGATGTGTCAGAGCCGCCATACTCACATGATAAGAAGATCGATGTTCTCGATCCAGAGGTTTGGTGACAAACATCTTTCCGAGCACAGGGTCGATGCTGAACACCTCATTGGGTGGTTGATCCGCTCCCACCCCGGTAATGCTGTATCGGATTGAGATGTCCTGGTCCTGGTCAGAACGAATCTGAGTGACAAACAGAAAGAAAATGTCGACATAAATGATATTAATTCTTTCAATGCATCTCAGCGTGTTTAAAAATGTGTCCCGTTTTTGAGGATTTCACAACTGTACCCACAAAACGAAACAATTTGGATGTTTTGCTAAATTTATAATATACAACAGTGGAGCGTCATAACTTTTGTCCGCAAAACATGGTGTCGGATGTCATTCACTCCAAATGTACTTAAACAAAACAAGAGTGCACTCCCAACATAAGTTGAAGTTCTTTCCTAAACTTTAACCTCACCCAGGCTTAAATAAAATATTCCCCTTCAAATTTACATCAAGTGGGACTTTCCTTACGTTTTTCACAATGTCTTCTGCGCCTCACCTCAACATACTTAAGAATTCCATTAGTGTTATACAGAGCACCGTGCGCTCTGTTTGACTACTTTGGACTACTTTAAATTAAAATTTTATTTCAGGATTTATTTGAAAGGATGGGTGTGTGAAAAAGCAAGATACAGTAATATGTGTAAGCCTCTGAATGAAGATGCATCCCGAGTACAGGCGCACTGTGACCAAAACTTACAAACTGAGAAAATGACTACATGAGCTTATCATCTGTATAATTAGGGAACAGGGTGCATAACAAGAGCAAAGTAACTTTTGAGTCAAGAAGTGCACAGAGGAAGAAAATTATTTAATACCTGCGGGATATGGGAAACTGAATGTTCTTTTCAAAAATAGGCTTGCATTTTGCTCCAGCTTTCCTTGCCAGATAGGCAGCTAATAGGTGCATTAAGTGCACCATGATGCTTTGTGATTCGGACTGGAGTACTGTGTAATTGGGAGTCATTTGGAGGAGTTATTCAATTTAGTGCCCAAATAGAGTCCCAACCTCTGAGCTTCCTATTTCTATCCATTAACGGCCTGACAACTCGTGAAATCAGCCTGTGTATCAAAATGGCTCAATCATACACTTAAATCCGGTACGTACGTACATACTGTACAGACACGCATGCAAACATGTACATGCACAGAGGAGTAGTCTTGCTTTTTTCTTCTAATCAATGGCATAGAGCACAAGAGGAGTAAAATTGTCCAATGCTGTCTCTATCTTTTACCACTCAAGGAACCAATTTAGCCACACTTTTGACACACTAGGAATTCCAACCTGCTGAGAAAATAGCTGAAGCAACTAACAAGGACAGGGGAAGGACATACAGTATTAGCCAGGTGTCATCTGGGCTCCCATAGCTGCGGGAGTAAATGCCTGTCACCATTACTGAAAGCGGTGGTTATAACTGTTTCCCTCCTCGGTCCTCCTCTTCAGCATTGAAACGATCATTAGTGCTCTGTTTCTTTAGCAGAACTGAGGTGTGTCTTTGGGATCAAAGAAATGTGATCGCTCGCACTCAGCTTCTTTTTAAGACTTCAAGAGGATCTGTCACCACATCCGCTAATTCTATTTTGTGCCTATATGCAGGCGTGTTTTCTTTGGGGAGCAGGAGGAGAGGAGAGCCTCAGTAGGCTGTGCGCATATCTCCGTGAATTGCTGCTGACAGTTCTGATAATTAATGAGCTGCAAGCATTTAGTGCTAATACTTCAAAGTAAGTCTCGCTGTTAAACACTAACATGGAAACAAATTTCCAGCTAGTAACTCAGTTGAACTCTAAGCGTGGTGTCTACGCGATGCAACATAATGCCACTTCCACTCCTGTTTGAGCACTGCGAAATATAGGCAGTTATCAAACTCTTTTATTACCTCTGTTTTATCCTCACTAACCCCTTCTTCTCCCAATTATTGTCTTTATTTCTTTTTCTCTTTTGTCACTTTTTTTTTTTTTGCCTGAATCCCACTCCTACTAACACCTGCCTCTTCCTTCCTCTGTGCTCGGTGAACCCTCCCTCCCCTCACTTCAGGGCTCCGTAGGTACAGAAGCCATGCATGGAAAATGGAATTACTTAAATCCTTTGGCCTTGGCAGCACCGTGTAAATTCTCTCTAGTTAGGAAGTGATGGTTCTCCATAATTCCATTTGGGTTTTCCCTTCCCCCAGATTCCCTACCTACTGCCACATTGTCCTGCTTGGAATGGATTGGAAGTCGTAGGCATTTGGATTGTAAAATGTGATTGTAAAAAGAAACTAGAGAATGACTTGGTTTTTAATCTTAAACTAGACCATTTTTGTCAACCGCTCACCAGGCAGAGCAAAGATATACTGTTTTTGATCAATAATGAATGTGATGTACCTCGTGTGCATCCATTAAGTCATCCAGTAATGGATTTTGGGGAAATGAATCAGCAGGTCATTCATGCACGTAAGTTGACCACTTTAATCACGTTATATTTGAAAAGACAGGATGTCATTATCAACAGCAAGAAAAATCTCACTGTCCTTCTGACATTTTTTGCTCCACAAGCTGATATTTATATTGTATATTTAATAAAGAGCTTAGAAAGATGCAAGCACAAAGACATTCTCATACGTTTATGGAGTTTATTTGCATTCATAAGTGGAAAATTGGAGACAAGGCTCTTCATGATGTATTAGAGCTGTTCTTTTTCCTGGATGGATGTTTATGAAACACAGCTTCTCTCGTGGCAATTTGCCATCAGCAAAGTCATAGCAGACGTTAAGTGCAGGGTGTTTGACCACAGTCTATATTGGGAATGATAGAGCTCATTTAAATTATCTGCCTTTACAGCATAAGTCATATGTTTTCAGTGGGGTTTGGGATTTGGAAAGCGTATTCCAAAAACCTGATGCTGGCCTATTTTATCCAATCCAAACAAGTTTTGGAATACCATGACCTTCCAGGTGAAACACCCAACTATGTCTGGGTTTTTAATGAATAGGTATTTATCATTTGATTTGATTTTGATTTTATCAAAGGTGAAGTTGAAAAATGTTAAGTTAGTCTACCGTTTACTGCCATTATACTTCCCTTTGTACAACGTGCTATTATCAATGGCAGTGAAACACACCCACAGCATGGGGGGAACACCACCATGTTTGACTGTTGGTCACTCCTTTAAACATCCTTCTTGTCTCTGCAGCAAAATAGCTGTCTTTGTCTCCGCTGGCCATTAAAAGCATCAATTTCTTCAAACTCTATCAAAACATTTGGCTTTCATGTGTGGAGAGCCGCACATTTCAGCAGAGCTTGAATGTTTTGATTTTGAAACGGAGACTCATATTTAACTAGCTTCATCACAGTCCATGTTGCTGTTGCACCATCTTTTTGTGTGGGATGCAATTTACTCTTGATTGTTCCTGAGCATCCCCTCCAAAACATCTCCTTTCATATAAGTACAACAGATTCAGTCAGATGGTTGAAACTTTGACATATAAGGGTTTTCTAATCAAACAATCATCCTAAACATACATAAAAAATAGTTTTGTGAAGGATAAAGCAAGATTATCTTAAGCTTCAGGAAAGGCCTCTGTGAAACTAAAAAGCATATGCATCCAGTTGAAATATAACACAAATTCTGGTGGTGAAATATGAGGTCAGAAATAATGATGGGGCTTTGTTGATGGTCACATACTGTTCATGATACCTCTGCAACCTGGCATGGGAGACTTCAGATGTTTAAATACTAGTGGGAGGTTTGAGGGGGTATGTATAAATTTGACCTGGTGCGGATTGCAGGAGAGCCACAATACATTTAAACTTATACACCCACTTCTCATTTTAGAAAAAACTACAAGTCTTTGCTGAACTATCTGTTGACCTCTGAACGGAAAGGTTTACATGAATCTCTTAAAAGCACCCATTTACATGGCACTGGATGTGTATGCAATGTATTGTTCCATTCTTTTGTCTTCAGCTTTTCTTTCCAATCATTGTTGTATTTTCTAAGGAATTTTAAACATGTGCTTATATGCTGGAGAGAACTGACATACAACATTTGGTTCAGGTCAGTTCACTTTATTTTGGTAAATTAAAACAAACCAATACTAATTAACAAACCCATTATTTATTAAAAAAGAAATAGGCTGAAGCCAAAACGTATACTTGCCTACCCTGTTCCTATACTTAGCAGGGCAGGCTAAGTATATGAAGATAGCTTGGCAGTGAGAGTAAGAGAACAGAGTCACGAGTGCATTATTCTGAATCAGAAAGCAGACACCGTCAAAATGACCCATTTGTCAGCAGATCAAAGCAATTCCCTTCATTACTGACAACATTTCTGGTTCTTATGGAGATCTTATCAGTGAGCTTAGCCCTCTTCTGTCAGGCAAAACTGAATCAAATGGAAAATTATCATGCCAGCAGGTCTAGAGGGAAAACAGTCATCCGAAGACCCAGGGAAGGGAATGAATAAAGGGGAAGTATAACTCAGTCACTGAGCTCAAGATGAATACATTCTGAATTCAAGTAAATGCTAATAGGGTAAAAAGTATCTGACTACTACGTGTCACATTCCATGCAACTCTATATGAAGTGCCAATCAGTATGTACATACTTTTCACGGACATGTTAAGTTACGTCACAGCTGTTGAAGGGACAGTTGAGCCTCTCCTTTGCCAGGGTGAAATGGTTTTTTCCAACTTAAATCAACAGCAAAATTGGTTTCGCAACAGGGCAATGGTGATGTTTGTGCTAGGTGGTTTCCTAGCACAGCTTAATTAAATGAGCCATTGTTGATCTCATTTTGCTTGTGTCTTGTGTTCCAGTTATTAGAGTTGGCTTTGCATTTTTATCCATGTTTTTTTTTTTTAATTTTGAAAGTTTTGACAGATATTTGTCATTGTTACATTTTTAAAAGCATTGATTCACCTACACTGTATACGTTTGTTATCTCTTGTCAATCCATCTGAAGATTTTTGAGTTGTTTTTGTAATCTGTTCAGTTTAAATATTTCTGCAGTGGAGCAGAAATCTGATCCGCCAACAAATGGGGATCAGGCCCCATTTGTTAATCTAGGGTGCGACTTTGCTTTGAATCAGTTTCTAAGAGGGCAAAGCACATGATATGTTAGTTTGAGCACATATCAAATTTGATCCTGAATT